ATCTCCAGAGTTTCTTATAGAGCTCAGTGGGTTCCAGCCACTAGAACTTGTCACCACCTAAACCCTGAAGTTAATTTACTCTCTGCTTTATTTCATTTGTTGGTCTAATCGATAGCTGCAATTTTACAAAACAGACCTGGGCTAGGGACTTTCTCAGGGTCCCATTCTGAAATAAATCCTGGCAGTTGGTGGGCTATGTGACACATGCATCGGGTGTCAGGAAGCATCTGGGTTCTACCTCAGTCCGTGTAAGCCGAGGTGAGGTCTTTTTAGTGCATCAAGAGAGGTGCCTCTATGAGTTCAATAGGTCCTTTTGGGGAATCCATCTGCTTCCCTCATTTCTATCCAGGTTGAAGTGGGCATGTGGGATTTTTGTAAAGAAACTGTAATCCCAGGGTTGCTGCATGGAATAATTCCAGGGAATGCCATCGTGCAATGCGAGGTCTGCATGGCCACACATGGTGGTCCTGGGACACTGTATTAGTCCATTCTTGCATTGCTATAAAGAAATGCCTGAGAGTGGGTAATTTATAAAGAAAAGAGGTTTCACTGGCTCACAGTTTTGCAGGCTGCACAGGAAGCATAGCAGCTTCTGTTTCTGGGGAGGCCTCAGGAAACTTACAATCACAGTGGAAGGCGAAGGGTAAGCAGGTACATCTTACATGGCCAGAGCAGGAGGAAGAGAGAGAGGAGGGAGGTTCCACACACTTTTAAACAACTGCCTCATGAGATAGTGAGATCTCATGAGAATTCACTATTATGAGGACAGAACCGGGTGGTGGGGGTGGGGGCAGGTGGGGAGGGATTGTGTTAAACCACGAGAAACCACCCTCATGATCCTATCACCTCCCACCAGGCCCCACCTCCAGCATTGGGGATTACATTTCAACATGAGATTAGGGTGAGGACACAGATCCAAACCATATCGGACCCCTATCCTCCTTGCTGTCACTCAGAAAAAGAAAAAACCCTTCTTTTCCACTCCCCATCCCCAGCTGGCTTCACAGATGGGCAGGAAGCTCCTTGAATATGCCCATCAGAAGGGTGGCTGGGCGAAGGTGGGCCGCTGTCTACTCCCCACCAAGCACTACAGCCCTGGTGGTCTCCAGATTGCATCTCTGGTCACTGTCTCAGCTCCCATGGCTTATGCTTCCTGGGGGAGAGCGTAGATAATCTGGGCACCCACCCACTCCTCACTTATCCATGACCCACTCGCTCCTCCCTCCCTCCCTCAGCCCAGGCAGCAGTGCCCTCTGCTGCGGCAGCCCTCCATCCATCCTCGTCGTTCAGAGGCCTCTGAAAGTATGCCTGTCAATATAATGCACAGCCTGTTAAGGGGAAGTGACATTTTGAATAGTGGACACTTTTCCGGGAGCATTCATCCTAGGTCAGCCTCATGATAAATAAATACATCTGGCGTTCGAAGTCAGCAGGCAGGATACAGGGACCAGAACACAAGCACAGATGCACACACCATAAGGCTGAGTTGATGGGGTGGACGTAGGGTGTGACAGAAAGGGAAAGAGGGAAGGCCCCACAAGCAAATTTTGGGGGCAATTTATTCCCTTTCTTCCTGGCACCTCTAGGGAAAACAGGAAGCAAAAGAAGCTGCAATTTCCTTTATTCCTGAACCACAAGAGGGTCCCTATTTCCTACCACCCCGTCTGTTCCTCACCTGTGCCTCTCCACACCCCCCGAACCCCAGTTCCGATCTTAATTACCCCTAACAGTGCCCTAAACAAAGTATTTATAAGGCTTACTGTGTTTGTCTTCCCGTTCCTATTAATAAAGTCTGGGAATGTAGGAAAGAAATATGGGCTGGTGACAGGGTTTTTAATGGTGCCTCACCTTAAATGCATTTTAAAATATGTAAATCAATAAAAAAATTATTTGTAATAGCAGCCTAAGAGTGCTGGTTAGCCTGGCACGGAGTGAAATGCATGCTACAAGCCCTATTACCATACATCCTGGGAGCTGTAGTTAGGATTAATCTGTCAAAGGGGATGGTTTAGTGTTGATGAATATGACATGTGACCATTAACGATGTTGATTTTATCTCCCGAGATTAGCATGATTTACTTCGGATGGATAATAATGTCATTTGCTTGATGCAGTAGATCTGTTTACGAGCTGATTAAATTGTAAGGCCTTGCCTCATTTCATGCTATTTGGTTTACAGCTTCATTACCACAATCACAAAAGCTGGGGAAATGTCCCACATTCCATGTCACAATAAATCACTGCTTCACGTTGCTGGGATGGATTTTAGCAGTTCTGCCCAGCACGGACCTTTCTTGGCTCCCCACTAATCTGTGATCCAGAATACATTAGGGGGATCTTCAGGAACACTGGAATGAGAGGGGGCAGGAATCCTCTTGGATCTTTTAATTGAGTGAGATTAAGGAAGTCCTTGAGTAATTAGCTGTAACAAATTACCTTATTATTTAGACAGTGAAGTCACTGTTTTTGTTGCAGGAATGATTACCATAAATATGCAGAAAAGTGACACTCGAGGAACCAGAGGGAAGTGTGGACGCAAATTTCATTTTTGCCCTGTGATCCTTTGCTGTAGGAGAGAGGCTGTCCGAATACAAGGTGGGCAGAGGATCCTCGTCCCGTGCTTCTTCCAAGCGGGGTGGGAGGGGGTGCACACCACACACTCACAGCATGGCCTGCTCAGCACCTCTGGGTGGGAAGTGGCTGAAGTGGAGGGAAGAGAGTGCCTGGTAACATGGGTTAGAATAGAAGTGTGTGAACCAGACCTGCTCACTTGACGCCAACCCTGTGCCCAGACTGACCTGGCAGTAGAGACTCTCCGTTCAGTCCATGAGGGAGGGGGAAGAAAACAGAGATGGAAAAGGCGGGGCCACTTACCCCTTGGAAGACTGGGGAGGCAGATTTAACACAGGCCTGAAATGAATGTCTCCATTTCCAGAATATCTAAGAGGTTTAGAGCGCTTACCACCTGCCAGGTCCTGTTCTCCCCAGTTATGTAACCCTGGGAGGTTGGGACTATTATTCTCATCCTATGTTATAGATGAGGAAACTGAGGCTCAGGGAGTAACATGCCCAAGGTCACACAGCCAGCCAGCTACAGAGCTGGAGTTTGAACCCAGGCAATGGGGCCCTGGAGCTGGGTGTAGTACCTATAAGCCACTGAAGCAGGCTCTAATGACTCAGGGTGAGGAGGGCACATTTTCAGGATTTCTGCTTCTGGCTCCAGAATTAAAGCCAGTAACCCTGAATGGGCCCTGTCTGGGAAGGATTTAGGATCAGCAATAATGAGGGGCACTGAGGCCAGGTCTCGAGTGGAAACTTTAGTAAGATTTTGCAGTGAGCAAAATCAAAGAGGATGTGAAACTGCTTCCTCAAGACTCGGCCTTTGGAAATAGAAAGCAATCATTTCAAAGAGCAAAGGTGGCTTCTCTGCATCTCAGCTCAGAATGTCCCTAAGATACCAAGGGATAAAGGGGAAAAATGTGGCCCCTGAAAATTCTGCAGAAGAGGTAATACTGTTTCAAAGCTCCATGCAATTTTACCTCTGAACTTGACACTTGGTCCTCAAGTGCCTGCACCCACTAACAAGAACCCATCATGAGCCCCTTATGGCAGTGACCATACAGACCTCGAATTGCATGATGGCATTCCCTGGAATTATTCAGTGCAGCTGAAATTATAGTTTCTTTATGAAAATCCTGCACGATCACTCCAACCTGGAAAGAAATCCAGGCCCTCCAATCTCCATTCTTTCTTTTTCCTGTAATGAAACCCTGATTTGTAATTGATTTTAACAAAATAAAGACTGCATTATCCAGCCTCTCTTGTAGCTAGATGGGTCATGTGACCGAATTCTGGCCAATAAGATGTAAGAGGAACAGTTGTGGCAACTTCTGGGATGTGCATCCGTGATTTTTGTTTGCTTATTTGTTTTTATTTTGTTTTCTTATGAGACAGGGTCTTGCTCTGTTGCCTAGGTTGAAGTGCAGTGGTGCCATCACAGGTCACTGCAGCCTCAACCTCCCAGGATGAAGCAGTTCTCCCACTCAACCTCCCCAGTAGCTGGGACTACAGGCACATGCCACCATGCCTGGCTAATTTTTTTTTTTGGTAATTTTTGTAGAGGTGCGATCTCACTATGTTTCCCGGGCTGGTGTCAAACTGCTGGCTTAGAATCCCCCACCTCAGCCTTCCAAAGTTTTGGAATTACAGGCTTGAGCCACTGTGTGTGGCCTGGGATGTGTTCTTAAAGGGAAGGGGTACACTTTTCTCTTCTTATTCCTGTTGGCTGAGAGGCAGGTGTGATAGCTGGCACTCATGCAACCAGTATGGACCGTGTGAAGAGGATAGTGGAGCAACAAAATAGAAGAACTTTGAGTCTCTGATAACTTTATGAATTTGCCATGCCAATCCTGGGCTGTCTGCCTCCAGATTTCAACTGTGTGTATGTGTGTGTGTGCAGTCGGGGGACAAATGGATGAAGAGAGTTATTTTCATATTCTGTCACTTGCCACAGAACCTAACTCTTCTTCCTCTTTTTTTTTTTTTTTTTTTTTTTTGAGACAGGGTCTCCCTTGGTGGCCCAGGCTGGAGTGCAGTGGCATGATCTCTGCTTACTGCAACCTCCACTTCCTGGATTCAAGTGATTCTCTCATCTAAGCCTCCCGAGTACCGAGTAGCTGAGACTACAGGCATGAGCCACCATGCTCAACTAATTTTTTTTTTTTGGTAGAGACAGGGTTTTACCATGTCGACCAGGCTAGTCTCGAACTCTTGACCTCAAGTGATCCACTTGCCTTGGCCTCCCAAAGTGCTGAGATTACAGGCGTGAGCCACCGCACCCAGCCTACAGAACCCAGTTCTAATAAACAAACACGTAATTCAGTTCAGCCATGAGCCAAAATGATGGTAGTCAAATGCTCCCTTGAAGTATGAGGGAGTCATACTTTTTTTTTTTTTTTCATGTTTCAATGGTATGTTTAATTAAATGCTCATGACAGATTTTCACAACAGCAACAAATGTTATTTCACAACATCAAATCTTCCTTACTAAGGAAAAAATGAAAACAACAACAAGGCTGATGGATCTGGATTATTTTTCATGTTTCCTGGAGGTGAAACCAGTGTCCTCACTTATTGTCCTCTATTTCCTCAAGTTGGAGACTGTTTCCATTCTCCTTACTTCCTCTCTGGCTATGTGTCCCCAGAAGGCAGTTTGGATTTTGAGAGCAGCAACTACTTCTTTTTCCTTATCTTCCTCAGAAGAGTCTAAGATGGTGACTGGTGTCTCTTCCTCCTTCCCAGATATCGGGGAGTTTTCTTGTTTAGGATCACATTTCTCAGGTGGTTCTTGCTCCTCGAATGCGTGGCTGTTCTAGAAGCGGTCTTCTACCTGAGTCCCCCATTCTGCTGGATCAAAAGTGGTTTTCTCTCTTTTCTCTAGAAAGCTCTCAAAATACGCTGCTGCAAAAGCTGTATATTATCCAGTTGCTTTATCAGAATCTCGTGGTCAGCCCTTCAAGAAGACTTCCAAATCCTTGCAGAATTCAGTAGTGGGTGTTGGAGAATGGAATCGACATCCTCTTGGTAAGAACTGCCTATGGAGCCTCTTCTTTCTCTGAGAGCTGGTGCTGCTGGTCCAGTTTACTTCCTCCTCTGACCTCATGTTCTAGGGATGCATGATCTCTCTCTTCCAGGGCAATTCAGGACTAGCACTGTTTAGCCTGCATCCTTCTTTCCTGATATCTGCCTTTCTTCCCCTAAGCTTCCTAACACACTGTTCTGGATTCTCTGGTTGAAGGCTCAGCTGTGGCTGCAGCTCTTGACTTGCTCTTGATGTCATGACACTGCGTTGGAAGTCCCAAGGGCCCATGGTCCTCATCATGTAACCTGGGAGAAGGTTGGACTTTTACACATGAGTCCTCACGATTTTTCTCGAATGGATTCTTCCCCATCCCAGCACACACCTTGCAACTTCTTGACAGAGCACCCATCCATTTAGGGCTGGGGTAAAACCAGAACTCTCTGAGCAGCAAGCTCTATTCTAGGGTGCTCCTCAGCCCCCATTCCTCCTGATGTCTGCCACAGGTCCAATCCTCTTCCTCTAAGGTTCCAGCTCCTCTTGCCTGAGCTTTCCCCAACTTCTGCTTTCTTTTCTGGCGTTTTCAGACCTCCAGGGTCTCCCAGGGCAGAGGTCATCCCACCTGAGCATGTATTGATGACTGCAATCTCTGCCCCTCAGACCCCAGCATTTCCTGAGCTCTGTGGGCCGCCCAGTCATACCCTCACCCAGGCAATCTCAGAGTCATTTTGTGACTCAGCCACTCAGTCTCCTCGTCACTTAGTCACTCAATCAGCTCTTCAGTAGTTAAATCAACTAACGACTCACATCCCTGGGCCCTTGGCCAGGTGCTCAGATACTTCTCACTCCGCCATTTTATTTGCTATCTGTTCATCAATCAGCCATTCACTGAACATGAATGAGCCAGCTAAGTTAGTGGGGATAAAGAGACACCAGGTACAAACCCTGTCCTCAATCGGGGGGCTGCCAGTCTGTGTCCATCAGTCATTAGTCTGGCAATCTGTTAGCTGTTTAATTGATCTATTGGTCAATCAGCATGCCAGCTATTTGATCAATGGCCAGACCCTTGCCCTGGCAGGCACTAGTCCTTGTGCTGAACTCTCAGGGTGTGTAGTCATCAGTCCGTTCTTCAAAGGTGATTAGGTGACCTGAAAGCCTCCAGGAGGAGGTGCTCTGAAGCTGTGATGGAAGTTTAGGACCAGTCTGGTTCCTGTGGGGACTGCAAGGCCTGTGGGACTTGCTCCCAAGGCAGACCTCAGCTCAGGTCCTGGGAGATGTGGGGCAGGGGACACGGTCTGCTCTGTGTCATGGGTGTACCTGTCTGAGAACATTGAGGGCCCTGGATTCCAGCCCCTCTGTCTCCCTCCCTCCTGGTGATGGTGCAGACAGACACACACACATGCACATACACACACTGATAATCTCACACATGCACACACAGACTCACACAACACACATAAACCCATGAACTCACATATATGATTGCATACAAATTCACAAACACAGACACGCACACTCATACACACCTTCCCATATGGACTCACACAGGCAGAAGCACACACTCGTACACACATATAGTGTCACTTGGGCTTGTCCAAAAGTAAGTTTCTCTCCCATCACAGCCAGGCCCCCACAGATAGCCCCATGCCACATTCAGAGATAGGTCAAGTAGCACTCTTACATCAAGACAAGTGCCACATGGACACACCTCCCTTGCCACATCCTCGCTCCTGGCCCCTAGCTGGGTAGCTACCCAGCCAGGCCCCTAGCAGGGACACAGCCCTGCGGCCCAGCACCCAAATGATGCGCTGGCAATGGAGCCCTGCACACCTCCCCAAAGCCCCCACCTGGTTGGGGGCATGCTGAGTTTGAGGAATCCTGAGTCCCTACACTGGGGCCACATTCCCTCTTGAGCCAGTTTTCCTCTGAGGTCTCTTGTCCCCACAGGACACGATACCTCTGGCCACCTCCCTGTCCCCAGCCCCCTGGGGCTGCCCGTTGGTCTCAGAGTCTTCCTCGCTGACCTTCATCCCTCTGCCTCTCCAAGTCTGATGTTTTTCCTCACACGATACTCAAAGGGAACTCGGACACCTTTCTGTCCTTGGTGCTAAGACCCTATTCTATCCTCCCAGTTCTCTGCCAGACCACCCCTCTCGAGATGGAGATAGATGAGGGACGGGGAGCTGGGAATGTCCTTTTGAGGGGGTTCCCTATGGGGCCAAGCCAAAGGCAGAGCCTAGGGGAGGGATAAAGAGGTGGCCATCTTAGGGACCCAGAGGCAAGGCAGTGAGCTGAGAACCAGAAACGTGGATAGAGGGACTTGCTATGGCTGGAGAAAGGCCAATCAGGAGACACACAGGACGATCACCTAGGTCACCCCTCTTCTGTATGGCTGGGAGCATTCTCTTGGGATGGGAAAAGGGATTCTGGCCTGTCTCAGTTATCTACTGCTACAAGAAAAAGAGTCTCAAATCAAGGGGCTTAAGACCAAGTCCAACTTTTATTTTATTCACAAATTGGCAATTTGGGTGAGGCTTAGTGGGGAGGGCTCATCTTGCTCCACTCCATTTTGGTCAGCTGGGGCAGCCCAAAGACTGGGCCAGGAGTTGTCTGAACCTCGTTCACTCACGTGGCTGGCAGTTGACACTGCTGTTGGCTTGGGCTTCAGCTGGGGCTGTTGGCCAGAACACTCCCATGTGGCCTGTCCTGTGGCTGCACGGCTTCCTCACAGCATGATGACTGGGTCCCAGGGGTGCGTATGTCCAGAGGAAGCTGTTTTACTGGTTACAATTTAGCCTTGCAAGTCCCATAGCATCACTTCCACTCCAACCACAGGCCTGCCCACCTTCCCAGATTCATGGGGAGGGAACATAGACCCCATCTGTCGAGGAAGGAGTGTCAGCTCCATAGTGTGAGAAGAGTATATGGGATATATTGGTGGCACCAACGATTGGAAAATACAACTGGCAGAATGACTGCTCTTCATAAGCCTTCCTCATGAGTTTCAGCCTCCACCCTTACTTTAGCTTTCTTCTTCTGTTTTTTCCTCCTTGGGTACACATCACTCACCCAGGTTTCAGCTTTCTCTTCTCTGTATACAATTCACAAATTTACAGCTCCAGCCCTGACCCGATGCGGCATCAGAAACTCAAGCCATATAAAACTCTACCTCCCTGCCAAAGCCTGCTCTCCCTCTAGAATTTCTTCCAAGTACCCACGCATGGGTTCTACTTCATCCATTCCCCCATTTTCCCTGGTACATGGAACAATGAGAGACTGGAGATGAAGCCAGAACTACATTTCACAACCTCTCTTGAAGCTGGGTGTAGCCACGTGACTATAAGCAACTTCTTTCTCACCTGTTTGAAAGGACACTGTGCACTTCTTCCTCCCTCTACCCTTCTGTGACTGCAATACACCCAGATTTGATCACAAGAATAAGCACAACATCCTAGGGGACAAAGGAGCTCCAAGATGGGAAGAACCTGGGCCCCTGAATGACATCATGAAGCAAAGTAGCCACGGAGACCATTACCTGAGAGAGAAACTTCTTTCTGATTTAAGTCCCTGTATTTGTTTTACCATTGCATAGCCCAATACCTGAGTCTAAAGACCTCAGGATCTTCTTCATCCTCCTGCTGTCCATTCCAGTTCAGCCATTCACCAGGTACAGTCCATTCATTCTACCTTCTCACTGCCCCCTGGAACTGTCCTTGCTGCGCCTGTCCTGCAGCTTCTCCCTTGCTTCCAGCTCTCACTTTCTCCCTCTTAACTACAAGACCTCCACATTGGTTTCTTTATATCCAGTCTCTCATTGTTCCATCCCATAATGTTCTTCCTCTGCTCAAAGACCTCCAATGGCTCCCTATTGCTTATTGAAGAACAAGACACCATCTTTCCTGCTTCCATCCCTTTGATCCTGCTGGTCCTTCCTCCTGGATCCCCAAATCTGCCATTTTCTAGCCATCAAATGCCTACTCATCATCCAAGCCCAGATCAAGTGCTATCTCCTCCCTGATGACTTTCACTTGTTCCTATTGGAGTTCATCCTGGGCCTCCACTGATTATATCCCTCACCACAGCCCGCCTTATGGCAACAATTGTCTCTATGACCCACTAGACTGGACAGTAAGTTATTTGAGGGCAGAGACCATGTCCCGGTCATCTTCCCATTGCCTCCACGCCTAAGATAATGCTGTGTATGCAGTAGGTGCTCAATATGTGCTTGCCAGTGAACACTCACTTTCCATGGCTGGAGGCTCACAACTCTGTCTGGGCACTGTTCTTGCCACAGGTGATCAGAGTTGTCTTCCCTCTGGCCTTGAGGGCTTCCCCAGAGAATCCCGGAGTAACTGAGGGGTGCTGCCCTCCTCACACTTCCCTGGGGCCTGGGGAAGGAGCAGCTGTGAACATTCTGTTTGCTCTGAGTGCAGAATCTGTGAGTGGAACTGCACAGGTTTTATTGGCAAGGGCTTTAGAATGAGACAGACTCAGCTTTGAATTTCAGCCCCACCACATTTTAGCTGTGGGACTTCAGGCATATTGCTTAACTTCTCTGAGACTCAGTTTTCTCTTTTGTAACATGAGGTTACTGTAGCTACTTATCTCCTAGAGGTCTTGTGAGGACATAAAAAGATAATGTAGAGAAAGCACTACATATAGTATTTGGCACAAATAAAGTGCTCACTAAATGGTATCGATAATCATAATTCCAATTTCTTTCCTGATACTCTGTCTGGTAAGAGTGGATCAGGACATGTTTCACACTAGGCCTGGTCCACTGGAATCCTTGCTGTCAGATGGAGGTTTCCCTATGACAAGGGTCAGAGGATGTGCCTTGTCACAACTGAGTTGAGTTAGAGCTGGGTTTTGCTGGGTGCCCCCAGAAGGTGGAGGAGAGGGAGCAGGGCTGGTGTCCAGTGGGGTGAGGGTGAGGGGCTGGCTGTTTGCTAACCCCAAAGTGGCTGGGTTAAACCATATCTGCTGGCAGGTGCCTATAGCCAAGGGTACAATGTCAGGGGTAAGAGATGGCAGACTTCAGGGGCTTCCAGGCAGTCAAGGGCTCTCTGCATCAGATGGGCTGCCAGAATCATCCCACAGTGCTCAGTTTCCTCTGGTGTAAAGGATCTGGATCTATGTGGGAGAAGGGGTCCAGGACCCCACATGAGCCGGCTTGGTTTCCAGCAGAGGAGAGGTACTGAGGGCAGTTGGAAGTGTCCCACATACAGTGGCGTCAGAGAGAAAGATTACACTCACCCTAAATATACCACACACTAATCCTGGGGACAGCAGACCATGTCCAAGTCCTCCTCACTGGCAGGGAGGGGCCATGATTCGGGGCCTGGACAGCTGGATCTGCAGGTTGCAGTCATTTGGACTAGAACAGGTAGGGCCAGTGGTGAGCTGGTAAATGGTGAACAAACAGCTCTTTGGTGTTGGGAAAACTTTCATTTATAGCACTTGCCCATTGCTGTGGTGTAAATACTCCTACCATGGCTGATTTCAAGCTACTAACATAAACATCATTGAGTGAGGAGTTGGGAAAAATGTGCACAGATAGCTGTTGGGAGCCAGTAGGAGCTGATTGCAGCACACCACTGGGTGGGGTCTGACACCTGCATTTGGGGAGAAAGGCAGATATCTGTGACTTCAGTGTACAGAGAAATAAAGGTCATGATGCAGTGTAGCAAACAGTGAAAGGCACAAGAATAATAGACCCTGGAGCCTAACACCCATAACAAATTCCTGCTCTGCTACTTCTTGGTTGTGTGGTTTTGGGCAAGTCACTTTGCCTCTCTGTGCCTCAGTTTCCCCATCCATAAAGTGGGGCTAACGCTAGTGCCTCCTTCCTAGAGTTTCAGTGAGGTTGCACAAGTGTACACTGGGCTGTGGTGGGTTGACAGAAATGTTATTTATTACAGTTGATCACACAGAGTAGTTGGAATGTCCCATTGGTCAGAATAATTTAGAAAGGAAAACCCAAAGCCCCTCAGGGCATGTCCAGAGGCCTTGCTTTTTCATCTTTAAAATCTTGGATTTCCTTCAAGGTCAAGGATTTAAAATCTGCATGCCCATGAACTACATGAAATTAAGTTTCCCACGTTGAGCATGTGGACTCGTTTCTTTGAAGAGGGCCCACAGCTTTCATTAATTGTCAAAAAAAGGTTGTGGTTTCTGCATCCTTCCCTCAACCCACAAAAGGCTTAAGAACTGCTGATGTGAATGGAACGTGTAGAATTCCCACACCCTAGGAATTGCCTAATTGCCCCGGAAGGGTTTTGGAGGAGAGGAGATGTTTGTAAAGTGTATGAAAGAAAAATGGCAGAGATGGAGAGACACAGAGAGTCAGCCGAGAACTCTGAGATGTCTCTTCCTTGTTGAGACCTGAGGCTGGAGGAAACTTCCAGCAATGGGACAACCAAAAGGCTTGCATTCATGCTCAGTGCCTCTCCTGGTTCCTGCATTCTCCTTACTCCCTGTAGTTTCCCAGGGGCCTCCTCTTCTCTTCTGCAAGTCTCCCTCTCCTCCCAGTGCCCTCTTGGACCCAGCATAGGTATCCCCTGGGCCACCTCTTTGTAGGTGCATAGAGGCAGGGTTAAAAGTAACTCACATGGGCCAGGCGCAGTGGCTCACGTCTGTAATCCCAGCACTTTGGGAGGCTGAGGTGGGCAGATCACTTGAGATCAGGAGTTAGAGACTAGCCTGGCCAACATGGTGAAACCCCGTCTCTACTAAAAGTACAAAAATTAGCTGGATGTGGTGGCACATGCCTATCATCCCAGCTGCTCAGAAGGCTGAGGCAGGAGAATCATTGGAACCTGGGAGGAGGAGGTTGCAGTGAGCTGAGATCGTGCCACTGCACTCCAGCCTGGGTGACAAAACGAGACTCCGTCTCAAACAAACAAAACAAAACAAAACTCGCTCACCTGTTGTTATGATTCAGTGACACCATTTGTCTTCTTTATGGTTGGATTTTGTTAATTTCAGGTTTCTGTAGTTACACTATAATTATTTAAGGCAGGGTCTGCCTCCGTTTTGGGTTGGAGGCTGTATTCAGTTTTTTTTTTTTAATCAGTAACATGGAAGCAGGTGGCAGATAGGTTTAATATGCTTCTGCCTTTCCACCCAGCAGCTTTGCTTTTCTCCTTTTTTCTTCTTATTCCTCTTTATTTCCATCTCCCTTTCCCGGTATTATTCTTCTACTTCCTCCCCTCCTCCTCCTCTTGCTTTTTCTCCTTTCTTCTTCCCTCCTTCCCCTCCTCTTCCTCCTTTTCCTTCTTCTCCTCCTTCTCCTCCTTCTTCTCCTTCTTCTCCTCCTTCTCCTCCTCCTTCTCCTCTTCCTCCTCAGGGCCAATCCTACTCTACATCATTGCATCGTACATTGATAGGCACCTAAAATTTAACTGAATTGCACCAACTCTGAATTACAACTCTGAGGGCTTCTCCAGCAGCACCCCTGCCCACTTTATCAACAAGAATTTGTGTCTAAAAGGCAGAAGTCACCATGCTGTGACCCACTGAAGGTGGGCAACAAGAGGGCTCTCTCTTGACTCTGGCTCTGGGTGATCCCACTCGTGGGGTGCAGGGGAGTCTGCCAATATTCTATTTCTACTCCTGCCCCTCTTAGTAACAAAGCCCTTTGTGTTAGTCAGCTTGGGCTGCCAGACAAAATACCATGGACTGATAAGCTTAAACAACAGAAATTTATTCTCACAGTTCTGGAGGCTAGAAGTCCAAGATCAAGGTGCCAGCTGATTCTGTTTCTGGTGAGGGCTCTCTTCCTGGCTTTTAAATGGCTACCTTCTTACATGGCCTTTCTTCTGTGCATTGGTTGGGGGTGGGAGGTTGGTGGTATCTCTTCCTTTTCTTAGAAGGCACAAATCCTCCCAGATTAGGTTCTACCTTTATGACCTCATTTAACTTTATCTTCTTAACAGCCCTGTTTCCAAATACAGTTACATTGGGGTATAGACCTTCAAATGAATTTTTTGGGGGACACACTTCAGTCCATAGCAGCCTTGAGTTTATCTGAGGTGGCAGTGTACCCAACTAAACATGACATTTCCCAGCCTCTCTTACAGCTATGTGTGGCCAAGTGACTCAACTCTACACAATGAGGTGCAGGCTGAGGAGCGGTGTGGCTTCCAGGAAGACCCATTCAAAGGGAGAGGGTCCATTTTACCTCTTGTTCCTTTTCCTGTGGTTTAGAATGAGCTGATGGTGCCTGAGCTCAAGCAGCCATCTCAGACTCAGAGATGACATAAGGATGAAAGCTTCCTGGACTGGCAGAGCTGAAGATAGAAGGACCCTGGGTTCCTGGTGACCGAGGGCTCCCCCTAGCCTGGACTGCCCACCTCCAGTCTGGGAGATTATCTGTCTTCCATAAGCCACTATTTGGGGGTCTTTGTTATTGTCAGCAAATGCTATTTCTAGCTGATGCATGGAAGCTTACCTGGCTCTGAGTTTTGAGCTTCAGGCAAAGACATTCCAAGTTCCCCTAAGGCCACTGCTACTTTTCCTCCTACCCTCCCTTCTTTGGAAGCATAATTTTATCCAAGGAATGCCCGATTCATGCACATTTGTCCTCCCTTTGTTTTTTTTTTTCTTTCCTCTGCTTTCTCCTCTCTCCCTCCCTCTCCTTTCCTTTCTTTTCCTTCCCTCCTTCTAATTTATTGAACACCTACTATGTACCAGGTACCATGCTAGCTGCCATGATTAGAAGTAGGTATAGGAGATAATCCCTTCTCCCCAGTAACCCAGAATCCAGGCTTTCTGGACAACATAAAGAGAATATGATGGCAGGATGATACAGCAAAGGAAAGGGCATTAAATCTGATCAGAAGGGTCTGGGGGGTCCCAGAAGGAGGTCACACTTGGCCTGAGATCTAAAGTAGAACTTTTGTGTCGCTGGTAATAAGGAAAAGAGGGTGGAGGACAAAATCCCAGGCACAGTGACCAGCACAGTGTTACTTTATTCAGCTTCATCACCTGTAAAATGGGGACAGTAATAGTAACATGAATAAGTGAATGCATGTACTAGTAAGTGTGCAGTTCATGCTACTTTTTAATTTTATTCTTGTTGGCAATGTGCTGTTCACCCTGGTAGGCACAGCCCTGTATCAGTTTTGGAGACAAGCTTCACAGAGGACATGTGACTTACTTGTCCATGGTCACACAACTATAAAGAGGCACTGCTCAAAACCAAGTGTCCTGGTCCCTGGTACAGTGGCCTTTGTATCTCTACCCTCTGCCTTTGCATTAAGTGCTGAGGGAATGTAAAGTGAGGGAAAGATCAGTGTGTGGTGGGGGAAAAATCTAGAGGGCTTCCTGGAAGAGGAGAGTATTGAGAGCGTTTTGGTAGAAATGGAAAAAGGAAGGTATTTCAGGGAAGGAGTGTATGATGGATGTCATCCACCAGGGTGTTAGAGGATGGGCTGGGGGGCTAGCTGGCTTGCAGAGGATTTGAACTCTGAAGATTGGTCAGACACGAGGTAGATCAGGCACACAGAGGCAAGATCAGAGGATGAACCATGATTACAGGCACCCTGATGGCCAGGTAGTGGAGTGAAGCTCTAAGATAGTGGGTCACAGGGAGCCACTGGAAGTTCTTGAGCAAGAGGGCTGGTCAAAATGAAATGAGACTTTGGGGAGAAAGGAAAGAAAGAAACCAACTTGTCTTTACTAAGAACCAGTATGAAATAGGCAGGAGGTTGGCCATTTTCAAATTTATTACTTAATTTGAGCCTCACTATAGCGCTATTAGTTTGGTATCAGTGTCCCTATTTCATAGATGTGAAAACTGAGGTCAAGAGAGACTTACCCTTAGATATGAGTCAGTGGTGGAGCTAAAAGTTAGGTTAGACTGAACCTAAATCTGTGCTTTTTCCACTGTACCATGTGGCTTTATGCTGGTCTCACTCTAGGAATATCTGTTGTACTGTGAGTGTCCCAACTAAGGCATTTCCTAGCCAGGGCTCAAGTCTTTTAATAGCCCAGATACCCCCTGGGCTCACTCTGGGTCACACTGGGCACAGAGGCCTTAATACCCTTGGGACTTCTGGGGACTCCCAGCACCGGGTAGGATTAAGTGCTTGGCTTCCAGGTCTGATAGAAGTAGGTTCAAATCCAGCTATACTGTGCATGAACTGGAGAGCAATATGCTTTAGCTCACCGAGCCTCAACCCAGGTGGGGCAGCGGAATGAGCCCTGGATTGGGAGCCAGTCTAAGCATAGGTTGAAACCATAGCTGGAAGTGACAAGCACTGAGGAGGTGAAATGGTGCCTTTATTATTTCAAAATAGAGTTGGAGGGGGTAGTGAGGAAATAAGGTTGCCCATGAGCTGCTCATTGTTGAGGCTGGGTGATGGGTTTATGGGGGTCCATTATACCATTCATTCTACTGCTCTGTTTGAAAATCTCCATTAATAAATAGACTGGGCACAGTGGCTCACGCCTGTAATCCCAGCACTTTAAGAGGCTGAGGTGGGCGGATCACTTGAGGTCAGGAGTTTGAGACCAGCCTGACCAACATGGTGAAACCCCGTCTCTACTAAAAAATACAAAAAATTTAGCTGGGCATGGTGGCGCATGCCTGTAATTTCAGCTACTCAGGAGACTGAGGTGGGAGAATTACTTGAACCCGGGAGATGGAGGTTGCAATGAGCTGAGATCAAGCCACTGCACTCCAGCCTGGGCGACAGAGCGAGACTCTGTCTCAAAAAAATAAAATTAAATTAAAAAAGAAAAAGAAAAAAGAAAATCTCCATTAAAAAATAAAATAATAACAATAACACCAAAAACCTTTTGAAAACCCAGCTATGTTCACCACACCCTCCCCTAGCTGGAACAGCATCTCTGGTTCCCAGGTACTGTTCTGTTTTAAAACTTCACCAGGCAAGAGCAGCCAAGGTGAGAATCCCTGCTTATAGCCATCTCTCACTAGCTGTGTGACCTTAAACCAGTGTCTTTCCCCTGCTGAGCCTGTTTCCTCATCTGAAAAACGAGGTGAAGATTATTTTAAGTTCAAGGGTACAAGTGCAGGTTTGCTACATGGGTAAACTTGTGTCATGGAGGTGTGTTGTACAGATTATTTCATCACCCAGGTATTAAGTCTCATAATGGGGTGAAGATTCTAATGACCTCATGGAACTGTTGTGAAGTTTAAGTGGGATGATATAGGATGCCATGGGTTGGGCATAGCCCCTGACAGATGTGAGCAGGTCAGCCTAGATTTTCCAGTCACTCCAAGCACCACCAGGCCGCTAGCCGCATTCCGTGAGGAACCCTAAGACAATATGTGCAGCAGAGGCCAGCAGATGACCTGGCAGGGGATAGGTCCCACCTTCTGGGTAACTTTCGCGAGTTTTCTGCGGAAGTACTATGCGCTAACCGATTGCGCCGCTGGAGCTCCAGTTTTATGAGTTTTCTAAAGCACGAGAAGTTCATCATCTAGTGAGGCTTTTTTATCTGCCTTTCCTCACTGCTTAAAGACCAAGCCCACATCTTTCCTTCTTCTGTCTGCAGTCGGAGCATAAGTGTGTGCCACACGTAACCAGGTGTGCCAGAGTCAGAGCAGGGGTGGCTTCTGTGGAAGTAGGAGTGAAAGTGTGCAAACATGTGAGTGTGTGTGTTGACAGGCATCTGCATTTGTGTTAGTTGTGCTTACTCAGAGGT